ATCAGTTATAATGATAGAAGTCTTAAACCAAACCAACCACTTGGATGAAAAGAATAATATGGTGAGGCATCTCAGTGACCCTACATTATCACTCTCCCTCTCAGGCTATGCCCTTGTTTGGCCTTGGGCCAGCCCCAGCTCTGCAGCCTACTCATTCTACACTATATAAAAGAACTGACAGGGCTGGCCCCATGGCTGAGTGGTTAAGTTCTCGCGCTCTGCTGCAGGCGGCCCAGTGTTTCGTTGGTTCGAACCCTGGGCGCGGACATGGTACTGCTCATCAAACCATGCTGAGGCAGCGTCCCACATGCCACAACTAGAAGGACGCACAACGTAGAATATACAACTATGTACTGGGGGGCTTTGGGGAGAGAAATGAAAAAATAAAATCTTTTAAAAAAAAAAAGAACTAATGAGGAAGAAATAGTCTAGCAAAACACCAACTGAAAGATAAACTACAATTTTGCCTCAGTTCAAAGCCTAAGGTTGTCCTAGTTCTCTTTTGGGTTGATAGAGAGAAATCAGTTAGTCAGAGCATAATATAAACTTTGGTCATTTATAGCTCTAAAAATCTCCAACAGAATGTAATTTGCCAAACTATTTCCTGCAATTCAAGTTCAATCAGAACTTGAATAAAATAAAAATAATTTTAATAAATTAAATAATAAATAAAATAAGGATAGGTTAAAGCATGGTCACTAGCTGCTTCTCAACAGAGGATAGCGAGCCCATGGCTTACAGTGAGGCGGCTCAATTCTGTGTGCGTGAACCAGAGGAAAGTGCCACACGCAGGGCGTTACATATAATTAGGATTCAACACACTGGTGATGCATTGAGTATCGCAGTGAGAATCAGCCATCGTCACAGAAACTCTACCATTTCCTGAAGCAATCAAGTGATTGCTTGGTCATAGCACCTGCTGTAGTCCCTGCACAGGCAACATTTGGATCTGATGCCACGAAGAGAAATCCACCACTCCCCACCTCTCTTCTCATTTTTAAGATGTTCTTCCTTTCCTCTTCATCTGCTTTCCTGGCTCATTGCTCTTCTCTCAACTAATCTTTCTTTTTCTTCATGTTCTCTCATCCTCCCATACCTAAGACCCAATAATGATACTCACTTGTAATATAAGCATTGCTGAAACGAATTTTCCAGATCACTGAAGCTTACTCTTTTAAAAGCCAAAATACATTTTAAAATTACTTTAACCATTTTGACTGGGAGTTTTGAAAATGTGCCATTTGTTCTCTTCACTTCTTAAAATGGTGTACACCATAGAACTTGGAACTTTCTTGACCACGCAGGCTCATCAACCTAAGCATCCCCTCAGGCACGTCTGAGAAGTATGGCACTCTCTTCCCTACACACACAGCCCCAGATCACTGCATTTCCTATCTCATTTCCACAGTTCCTCTGTCAGGAAGAGCTTTACTTTTTATTGCTGCCATTGTATCTCACTTTTGCCTTTCTCCTTCCAGTCCCTAATCTGCTGTGGGGTGGGTAGCCAGACAGGCAAGCCGCTAGGAACCATGTGTCAAATAAGGTTTTAACTGATATATGTTCACTGGTCTTTGAGTAAGGGCCTAGGGCCTGCCCTGTGAGTAAAGTTCATTGAAATTCTGACAACAATTTCAAGAGCTCAGAGACCCTTTTTACTTAATTCTGGGTATGTGACATGTGTACAAAAAAAAAGTAGATGGGAGTTTGCCCTTTGGATAGATGGCGTATCACTTTCATTTGTATTCATGTAGAAACATTGTTTCCAGAATAGTCTGTATTCATGGTTTTAGGCCACACTATACTCGGGCCATCTATCATCATTCCTCATTTAAACTTTAGAAAGGGGCTGGCCCGGTGGCATAATGGTTAAGTTCATGTGCTCTGCTTCAGCGGCCTGAGGTTTGCCGGTTCGGATCCTGGGTATAGACCTACACACCATTCATCAGGGGATGCTGTGGTAGCATCTCACATGCAAAGTAGAGGACAATCTTCCTCAAGCAAAAAGAAGATTGGCAACAGACGTTAGCTCATGGCCAATCTTTCTCACAAAAAAAATTAAAAGATAAACTTCAAAAAGAGTGAGTGAAAAAGGCAAAATGCTGACTTTGCAAGTTAGAGATCGTCATACGGAGTAGATTCCTCAGACATCTTTGTGTACTGCCCTTTCCTTTCCTGGCCTTTAACTTAGGACCCTCATGGTCCATAAACTAAGTGACACGCCATCATCGCAAGTGCACCAGGTCAGTCTCCCTTCTCAGACACCATTAACACATCATTTTTTCAACTTCTTAAAGTGGAACCTTGCTGTCATCAATGACTCTTCCCTCAGTTTCCCCTTTTAGACTAGACAATTTCAAGATTCTGGTGCATGTGGTTTATTCTACATTGAAGATGCATTTTACCTGCTTCTCACTCAAGCCTGCTAAAATTCTAATTCATGGCTCTTGCAGGCTTCTACTTTCCAAACATCCCTCTCACCTCCCTCTACCCAAATCCATCCCAAATAACAGTGCCCTCCTCTTTCATCACTGGGCTCTCAATCTCTCCTTCCTGAACACTGTCATTGGTTAACTCTCAAAATATTTCTTGCTTTCATGTGAAAGCTCTATTTTTACCTTTAGTTCTTTTTATAGTACTTCTACCACCCACCTCCTCCTGTTCAATCTTTACATTAGACCTTCCAGTTTTATCTGTTCCATATAGTTTTGTAGGCAGAATTAAAGAAACATGTCAGAATTCTCTCTTTTCTCATCTGTCTACTCCAGAGTCCTTACCCTGATCACACCTTAATATCTTCAACTACCTCTTGAGAAGTTTTCTTTTCTAAATGCGCCGGAAGTCACTTCTCACATTTAATTTACTCAACTATTTTCCCTTTTATATATTTCTTAAAATCTCTAGAGAAATAATTACCAGATTTCCTGTTGTGGTCGTTCCTTCTGCCCCCTCCTCCTTCCTCAGATTGTAATTGTCAATAATAGCAGGACTGAACTTCTGAACATTTGTAAGGTGCCGTCTACTGAGTTAAACAAATCCCATTCCCCAAACTGTGCCATTCCTTGGCACCCGCTCAGCAGTCCATTCTTCCATCTCTCCCACAGCTTTCCAATTTAGCCAGTAGAATCCCCATTTCATGGTAAACAAACTGCCTTCTGCCTTCAACTCATTCAGAAAGACTTCCCTCTGGAAATCTGGGCCTCCCTTAAGGACGCTGCTAGACTCCTGACTCCTGCAGCCCTCTGGAAGGAAAGGACCAATTCCTCTACAGAACAGATACCTCAGGGTCAGGAGTGGGTAAGGGTCTACTTGCTCCTCAGAGCCACTAACAGTCCAACACTTTACCAGCCTCAGGTAAAGCCTCTCCTCCTTCCAGGCCCATGACCTCTGACTAGACTTCCTTCCCCTGCTCCTCATCTCTGGGTCCTGTGGCCAACTCATTTTACATACCTGCTTTCCATGTCCTTGACCTCCTCACCTCTGACATTCTCTTTCACTCACTTCAGCCACCCCCATTCTGGACTCCACCTTAGACCAGCTCATCCCTGAGGACTACTCCTCTTACAACTTCCCACCCTTTCTGCTTCCTAAGGTCCTCACCCCAGTCAGCCTGCTCCCTGACCTCAGAGAGCATGCCGAGCCTTCAATCCTGCCATTCCTCCCAGTTGATTTGTCCATCCTGGCTTCTCTTCTTTCCCCACCCAGCTTGGATTCTGTGGTTGATCTCTAGAATTGGTCTTTTACCAATACCCTCAGCTCCCTACCAGCAAACCTTTGTCTGGACTTCCTGACACCAACTGACTACCTGGGCAGCCTCCTACTTCCTCTGACCCCGCTCTCTGGCTACCATGCTCTAGCTCTAGATCCCTGCTTAGGCCTCCTGCAGTCCCAGTAGAATCTCCTCCTAAGTGCCAGCTCCATTAATCCACTCCTGGTTTGACCTGTGCCATTCCCTTCCAAGCTTCCATTCTGAATGGATGAAATGAAAACCCTGCATTTCTATTATAATTTATTCATTTAAAACTGCTTTTGGATATTTATGTTATTTTATCCACAAGACAACTCTTATGGGGTGAAAGCTCAAGAATATTGCAGCCAAAAAAAAATTTGAGGTTCATGGAGGTTATGTGGCTTGTTTAAGCTCTCACAGTCTCCAAAGAGTAGAAATGATTGGCCATCATAATAATCAGAATATATTTGCTTTCAACCCATCTACCCACTTATACCGTGCCTAAGTATTCAATTAGTTGTATTCAAGTATTCATGCTAGTTGTGGGGATGACGCACTAATCAAAAAGAGAGATAAAGGGGTTCCACTGTGAAGGCAGGGGTCACTTTAGGATCATTTTTCTACAGGCAGTTGTCCCAGAAGCAAATATTCAGAAAATATTCAGGCTCAGAGAGAGAAACAAATCCAATCAAAGAGATGCAGAGAAACTCCATGCTGGCCAAGCTGTTTTGTGCCCTCCGTGCGGGCTCCAACATCCAAAACCTGACAAATGAAGAGGAGTTACAGCCCTGAAAGAGCAACTGAGCCCAGCGATGGTGAATCAGAGTAGAGAAGGAGCAACTGGAAACTTAGTACAGGGCACTCCTTTCATGCATAATTAGTGTGCCATGGAAAAGAAGACTGGCATGTGTTATGCTCACTTCTGAACAAAATAAAAATAAAACAGACTGCTCCCCTCTCATCCTGTGCCATCTAGACATTTACGATGTAATAAAGACCATAAATAGAATCAGGTACAAATCCTAATGGATATACAGATAACAATAGTATTAAACGAAGACCCAGATTAAATTTTTAAAAAATTTTTATGAGATGTGTTAAAAAAAAAAACCCCACAAAATATATGCCTCTACAAATCTTTGAGCTTCTTGGATAAAAATTGTTGTATTACATCTGTATTTGTACATATCCCTAATAAAACTAACATCGTTATCTACTCTAGGACTGCTCTCCTCCAACAAAAATGCAAATATTTAGTGAAATAATCATTTACCTTATAGAAGATCAAAAGAAGATCATCCAGTTTTCCATGCAAATCACCTGGAGTGCAAATGAAAAATCACTAGTCAGTAGGCAACAAGAAAATCCCCATTTTGTTACAGATTTTTAAAATTGAAATACTGCTGATATACTCCATGAGGTCTTGGGGCATTGGGTTTTTATCTTATGATGATATTAATTCAACAGACAATTGGTTTCCACAGCACTCTATGGGAACTCTGTCCCCTTTCCTATAGGGGACAGCATCTGATATTGCAATTACCTGTTCACTCCTGCCGTTCAAGTAGCGTTTAGCTTACTCTGCGCCAAGTTCTGTGCTAAGGGTTTACATGAATTATCTTCTTCAATCCTTACAGCCACTCCATGAGATAGGTACTATTTTCATCATTCTCATTTTACAAATGAGGCTCAGAGTACTTAAATAACTTACACAATTTTATCCAACTACAAAGTCTCAGAGCTGGAATCCAAACTCAATTTTATCTCACTTCAAAACTCAAGCTCTTAGCAATTATTCTGTACTGCCTACACTGTAATCTCTAGGAGAGCAGCAGTCGTATCTATCTCAGTCAGCATTAAACCCCCAAGTGCCTCCAAGGTACCTGGTGCATATCAGGCACTCGATAAATATGTTTAATTGCTAAATGCATAGCTTTTTAAAGCCATGATTTAGAGAATATGCTCCAACAGTAGCATCTGAAATTTTAGAATTGTAAGTAGATAGTTGATATTCTTTCGAAAACACAGTTACAGGAAATACAAATGAAAGCATGGCTTTATAAAACTCCGCCAAGTAAGGGAAATCATATGAAGACATGAAGCCATTCATTAAAAAGTAAAAGTGAATATTCAAAAGCCCTATTTGGACAACTATTTCTAGGTGAAATATCTGTCTTTCATAAGCTCTGGTCATAAATTTTTATTCTTTGTATCCAACTTAATTATCAAATAGAATTTAACTTAGGAATATCTTCCGTCACTTTGTTTAAAATCCCACAATCAAAATTAACCAAATATATGCAACAGAAGACTCTAATTATAATGGGAATAACAAAATTAAAATCTTATATCTCTACCATATATTTATAAAATGACTATAATACTAAGAGTATATTAATGCTATTGTATACATAAATCTCATTGCTTTCAAATGATCTCATTCTAAATCTAAGGAAATAAAAATGGAAGGACTTTTTACTTATGAGTTAAATATATATTTTTAATTACTTTATTTTCCTTTCTTCAGGGTGGCTCATCTTTCAAAGATTTGGATAGACAGAACTATTCCAGCTGGCATGCTAAAAAATGAATTTGTTTCAGCATATTAAGTGTTAAGGCTATAAAATAATTTTAACTTCTAGTTGGACAGCAAAAGATAAAACTCAGTGTATCAGGGAAAGACAGTTACAAAGATATTTCCACTGCAAACAAAAACATGAGTGCAGAGTTAGTTATCATTTATAACATAGCTATAGACTAAAATGCCTCCTATATTTCATGCATGCTGAGAACTATGTAGCATGTTTAGATGTGCATGTGAAAAATGTATCTGGAAGTTAAAACAATGGTGAAGTTTCATCACAATTTCTCTCCCTTTCCTAATACTGTCTTAAACAGAAGATGTTTTTGAAAATATGGCCCCAATTTTAGATTTTATTTTAAATGATGATCAAATTTTTCTAAGTTCAGTAGGGCTATTAAAGACAGAAAATAATGATTCCCACACTAAGGGAACCTACTAGCCTGGCTTTTCCCTCTACCAATAGTGCTACATATAAAAAGTCTGGAGATAAATGCCCAAGAAGTGGAGATTTTTAAATGAACAGAACTAATTAATCCATTCCCTAGTCTTTGTCTCATGATGAAAAATGAAACATCAGTCAGAGAAATGCATGATGGGAGTTGGGATAGCAGATATGGGCGCTGGCTCTAACCTGGGATGCAGAGGACCTGATTTTTAACTCTGACCCTGCCACTAACTAGCTGAGTGAGCTTGTGGGGGTAGGGGGGTAGGTGGAGTTACTCACAGAAATGCATGGAAGGCAATACACTTTTCGCTCTGGGCCTGAATTTCATCTGTAAGAGCAGGCGATAGACTAGATGGTCTCTGTAACAACCCTTCGGTTCTTACACTGTGTGATTCCATGACTTTCATGCCCTCTAATTAATTTATGTCTTCTTCCAGATCCTTTTATCCAAAGACACGTCTACAACGGCAACTGGAGGTATACTGGAAACATGTGGGAGCAGATCTGACTCTCTGTTTGGCTTGTATACACTCCGATAGCAAATCTAGCCCTGGGTCCATAGGCTTTGTGGGTCGGCATAGCTTCCTGAGCCTCACAACCCCAAATTCTTTATCTCCATGAAAAGTAAGAGCTGGTGAGGCCTTGCATAAAAGGCCCCCACTGCTGCGATGCATCATCTGCTAGGCAGAGATGTGGTGGCCTGAGTAGGTTGGAAGTGAACCATTAAAGACTCTTCAAAAGTCTGAGTCAGGGCATGTCATGAAGCATGTACTGCTACATCAAGTCCCTGTCACCACTATCAGATGCTAGAAATGGAAATGGTCTAATTAGATTGTCAAATCCACTTCTACCTGCCAGAGTAAAAGAAACACGGGCTAAAAACTGATTTGGAAAATAACAATCACTATTTTGTAACCTAAAGGCTTAATTAGAAGTTAAGGGAATTGCTGTTCCTTCCACGCACTCCATTCTCAGACAGTTGCAACCATGCTGAGCACCAACTGTGTTGAATTTCAATGTGTACCGTTTCTTGAAGCAATATCCTGCCAGGCTGGCCTATATGATAACAAAATCTCAAATCTTGTTATTTAAAAGAACAAGGAACAGATTTCTGGGACATTCCCACTCTTCTAAAAACTGCAGAGACCAGTTGGAAAAATCTAAAACAGCAGCCAAGGGCAGAGAGGAGTTTAATCTCCACCCTGCCTTGGGCTTTTCTCTTCCCAGTATAATGGCATGCACAGGCCCACCTAGAAAAAGCAACATGGAACAAAGATAATGAGAGCTAGACGGAGGGCAAAGAACACTTATTCCACCCATGGGTGGTTTTCCATATTAAAATGCTGCCTGTCTTTATAAAAAGCTATGAGTTCTTTAATTTCTCACATAATTAATTCCTGCCAGCTGGTATGCAAAACAAAGACAACATGGGGAACAGTATTATCATGATAGATAACTCTATATTAACACTTTTCCCTTAATACAGTCCAATTTACACAGTTTTCAAATTAGGCAAATGATGTAGAACCAAGAGACTCCTAAATATTAATTTGGCAACTCTGCTCTGAAACTTACCACAAATTGTTATCTGTTTGGAGGGAGAAGTTTTTACGTGAGTGAAATTCGGCATTTGCTTCAGGACTTTCTTGGTTTCAAATAGCACTTCTAACACATAATAAGCATGAAGTATCTGCGAAGGCAAAGCAGAGGAAATAGATATGATGAACTAGGAAGAAATGCATGACTGTGTGGAAAGCTATAGAGGTAGAGCATACGACCACATTTCAGGTAGCTGTATTTCAGGATAATCTCTAAATTATTATTAAATAGATTATTCTAGCACAGTGTCTGGCATATAATAAGCCCTCGCTAGAGATTTGTAAATTGAATGAACAAATAAACATTCCTAGGACATTTATACTCTCACGGTCTTAACTGACATCACCTATTCACAGAACATTGCTGATTATTCTTGGCCCTTAGAGCCCAAGAGAAGTGACAGGAAAAACAGGAGACTCCTTTGCCCTAAGGAACCATGCAGACAAATAAATAAATAAATAAATAAATAAATAAATAAATAAAAGATAAGGAGGGAAAGAAGAGAAACTGAGAAAGAGAAGCAGAGAGAGCCTGTGGAAGAGAGGCTGCTTTGCTTTTGGGACAGCCTGCCACCTGGGATGGTAAGTAGGTGTGGTGCTGGGATGGGAGATCTCACAAGGCAGCCAGACAAGCCCCAAGGAACTCCTGAGCCAAGCATCCCAAGTGTGGCTCAATATTTGGTGCACAGACATGAAAGTTTACAGAACAGCAAGCACATTAATATACAGCTCTAAGTATAAAACATATTCCAAACCCAAATAAACCATTTGGATTATCTCCTATTATGACTATTCATCCCGTTGCTCTCCTCCAGTTACAGTGTTGATGATATCATTGTTTTGGACAGATTTACTCCATTTTCTCCCCCGGATTTTTGTTTGTTTGTTTTAAGTCCCGTGTTTTGTTCTCCATTTAATTATAAAATGTTCCAAATACATAATCCAGAAAGCAATATAGCTGATACAAATTTAACATCTGCTAACACCACTTGATGGGTCAGGACTGTTTGTACCTGTGCTGTCCAATATGGCAGCCACTAGCCCCCTGGGGCTGTTGACCACTTGAAATGGGGCTGGTCAAAATTGAGATGTGCTGTAAGCGCAAAATACAGAGCAGATTTCAAAGGTTTAGTATGAAACAAAAGTTAAATCTCTCATTAAAAAGTTTTAACATGATTACATACTAAAATGATAATTTTATATGTTGGATTAAGTAAAACATAGTATTAAAATTAATTTCACCTGTTTCTTTTTACTTTTTTAAGTGACCACTAGAAAATTTTTAACTATGTATGTGGCTCGCATTATATTTCTATTGGACAGCACTGGTTTAGATTATTGAAGGCTGAGAGAGGGGTCATAGCTACATATCATTCAGATACTGCTTTGAGTATGAGATTCAGGACAGATGGAACTCTTTGGAACAATTCTGTCTTGTGGTGTCCTATTAAATTTCCATTTTCATAACTATTAAAATAACAAAATTATTTCCTATCCCAGACCCCAAAAACATATGACTTAAGTTTGGAGAATTTTCATGATTAAATATTTTTTAAAAACACAGGAAACAGAATTTGAAGCAATGTGAGAATTAGGAGGAAAGAGAAGGGCCCCTGGATCTTGATTAGCAGGGAGAGACCCATATTTCCTGTCTGTCCAAGACCTAAGGAACTGCTAAGAATTTTCCCCACAAAAGCATTCTAAATTCATTGTGAACTTTCCTTTAGCCACATTTTAAAGGAACAGGCAAAACACTTTTATATAATGATTTATTTCAATTTGTACATTTAATCAGTTGATTCCCAACAGCGGCTTCAGTATTACCTTAACTTGCCATTGTAGATTTTCTGGTCCATTTGTAGCACTAATCAGGGGAATTGCTGTCTGAAGAGGCAGTTCTGTTTTGTTTTGTTTTGTTTTTCAAAGTTAAATTAACAAATATTTATTGAGAATATATTGCAACAAGAGAAAATTCCTATTTTTAAAATAGTTCTTCTGGGCCCTTTGTCAATTGGCTAAAATCACTTTGGTAATATTAGTACTTGCTTATAATGCTATCTTTCAATAGCATTATAATTGTGTTTACAATTGCAATACTAAATACTCAAAAGAGTTAACTGAGATGTTGGTTTCTCAGATTAAACAGCAACTTAAAATATTCACATTCTTCTAAAGGCATTGAGGGAAGAAAATACTACTTTTAAAGAATATTTCTTTTTTTAAAAGTAGCTAGCTTTTAAATGAGAAATAAATCTCATTTTTTACTTGAAATAAAAATTTAAACAATAAAAAGGAGTATAACATGAAAAGCAATTTCTTCCCCAGACCTCAGTCCCCAACCCTGTCCCCAGAAATAGCCACTGTTTAAAAAGTGTCTTGAGTATCTTTCCAAAAGATATTCTATGCATCTGCAAGCATACAAAAATTAATATAACCACATACGAATATACAAACACATGTATAAATATAGAATCCCTTAAACAAAATTTGGCATATTCATACAAAGGATATTATTCAACTCAAAATAGGAATGAGGTACTGATACATGCCACAACATGGATGAACCTTGAATACATTTATGCCAAGCAGAAGAAGCCAGACACAAAAAGCCACATATTATATGATTCCATTTATATGCAATGTCCAGATTAGGCAAATTCACAGAGACAGGGCTACGGCAAGTGACTGCTTAATTGGTACAGGGTTTTGTTTCGGGGGTGATGAAAATGCTCTGGAATTAGATAGTGGTGATGGTTGCACAACATTTTGAATGTATTAAAAACCACGGAATCATACACTTTAAAATGGTTCAAATGATGAATTTTATGCAAATTTCAGCTCAATTTTTTAAAATAAAAATATATATAATATTTACATATTTATTTTATGTATGAAAGCACATTGTACACTATTGAACCTTTTACTCTTCCCTTAACATAATTTTTTAATTTCTAAAAAGTCAAAATTATCAATCTTTCCCATTATAGCTCCTTGGATTTTTGTTGTATCTTTTATCTCCTTGAATATATTAAGCATATTTATTTTAAACTCTGAGTCTGATAATGCCATTATCCAAATACTCTGTAGGTCTGTTTCGATTGTTTGTTGTTTGCCTCAGTTTTCTTTCATTAATCTTGTATCCTCCTGTGCTTGGTTAATATTTGTATTATGTTCTGGATATTGTATATGAAAACTTGGAGAAATAACTTGAGGCCTATTTTCTCCCAGAGAGGATTTAAATTTTCTTTTGGCAGGTGGCTAGGAGCACTAGCTATCTAGGATGATCTCAATTCAATTTCAGGAATTAGATGATTCAAGGCTTTGCTTCAATCCCTACAGAGTCAAACGACTTCTAGTTCACTCTTACTCCGAGGGTATGCCCTTACGGTTCTAATCTGAGAATGAAGGTTCTGGGGTGATGTCAGAGAAAATAATGGAATAGGTAGCTCTAAGGTCCCATCCCTCCACAGAAACATTGAAAAATCAAGCAAAAAAAACCTGTCGGAATCAACTTTGTTGGAACTCTCGAAAACAGTCAAACTTTATAGCAACCAAGCAAAAGGTGAATCAAGAAAAAGGCAACTTAAAAATGGCTCAGTGCAAGCAGGAAGTAAAGGCTAAGACAGATTTGTAAACAGCCTGGTCAAGCAGTGAAGGAGTGTACCAACACAGAGCCAATCTGCAAACACTAGGTTTCTCTTTTTTTCCTTTTTTTTTTTTTATGGCTCTTAGTGTTCAAGAAAATCTCTGTCAAAACACTAGCTAAACACATGCTAAAGAAACAGAGACTTCAGAGACCTCACACACAACTAGACCTAACAGACCTCTGCAGAACACTCCACCCAAAAACAGCAGAAAACACATTTTTTTACAAGTGCACATGGAACATTCTTCAGGATAGACCAGATGTTAGGCCACAAAACAAGCCTCAATCAATTTAAAAAGATTGGAATCATGCAAAGTATCTTCTCTGACCACAATGGAATGAAATTAGAAATTAATAACAGAAGGAAAACTGGAAAATTCACAAATATGTGGAAATTAAACAACACACTCTTAAACAATCAATGGGTCAAAGAAGAAATCACAACAGAAATTAGAAAATACTTAGAGATTCACAAAAAGGAAAACATAATATACCAAAACTTATGGGATGCAGCAAAAACAATGCTCAGAAAGAAATTTACACCTGTAAATGCCTACATTAGGAAAGAAGAGAGATCTCAAATGAAAAGCCTAACTTAACACTAAGGAACAGGAAAAAGAAGAGCAAACTAAACTGAAAACCAGCAGAAGGAAGAAAATAAGGATTAGAGTGCAGATAAACGAAATAGAGAATAGAAAAACAATAGAGAGATTCAACAAAATCAAGTTGATTCTTTGAAAAGATCAACAAAATTGACAAACCTTTAGCTAGTCTGACCAAGAAAAAGAGAGAAAATGCAAATAACTATAATCAGGAATGAAAGCGGGAACATTACCTCTGACCTTAAAGAAATAAAAAGAATTATAAGAGAATATTATGAACAATTGCACACCAACAAATTAGATAACTTAAATGAAATGGACAAATTCCTAGAAACACACAAATTACCAAAACTGACTCAAGGAGAAATAGAAAATCTGAACAGATCTAGAATAAGTAGAGATTGAATCAGTAATCAAAAACCTCCAAACAAAGAAAAGTCCAAAACCAGACAGCTTCACTGGTGAACTCTATTAAACATTTAAAGGAGAATTAACACCAATCCTTCTCAAACTCTTCCAAAAAATAGAAGGTAAGGAAAAAATTCCTAATATTCTATGAGACCAGCATCACCCTGATAGCAAAGCCAAATAAAGGCATCACAAGAGGGCTGGCCACTCAGAAAACTAGGAATAGAAGGAAACTTCCCCAACATAATAAAGGGCATTTATGAAAAACCCACAAGTAACATCAAACTCAATGGTGAAAGACTGAAAGCTTTCCCCCTAAGATTAGGAACAAGACAAGCATGCCCACTTTCCCCACTGCTATTTAACATTGCACTGGAAGTTCTAGCCATAGCACTTAGGCAAAAAAAGGAAATAAAAGGCATCTAAATCAGAAAGGAAGAAGTAAAACTGTCTCTATTCACAGATTATATGATCTTGTATATAGAATATCGCAAATAATGCACACATACACATATATACACAAAACTACTGGAGCTAATAAATGAATTCAGCAAAGTTGCAAAGTAAAAGATCAACCCACAAAAATCATTTTTGTTTCTAAACATCAGCAATGAACAACCCAAAAGAGAATTCAAGCAATTCCTTTTACAATAGCAACCAAAAGAATAAAATACCTAGGAATAAATTTAAAGTAGTCAAAGACTTGTATACTAAAAACTACAAAACAATGCTGAAAGAAATTAAATACCTAATAAATGGAAAGACATTCCATGTTCATGGATTGGAAGACTTAATATTGTCAAGATGGCAATACTACACAAAGCGATCTACAGATTCAGTGCAATCCCTACCAAAATCCCAATGGGCTTTTTTGCAGAAATGGAAAAGTCAATCCTCAGATTCATTGCAAGGGACTCCAAATGCCAAAGCAATATTGAAAAAGAACAAAGTCAGAGGATTTGCACTACCTGATTTCAAAACTTACTACAAAGCTACAGTAATCAATACAATGTGGTACTGGCATAAAGATAGACACATACACCAATGAAACAGAATTAGGAGTCTAGGAATAAGTGCATACATCTGTGGCCTATTAATTTTTGACAAGGGTACCCAGAACATTCAATGGCGAAAGAAGAGACTCTTCAACAAAAGGTGCTGGGACAACTGCATATCCACGTGCAACGAATGAAGTTGGATCTCTACCTCATACAGTATACAGAAATTAACTGAAAGTGGCTCATAGACCTAAATGTAAGAGCTAAAAACTATAAAATTCTTAAAAGAAAACATAGGGGTAAATCTCGATGACCTTGGATTTGGCAATGGATTCTTAAATATGACACCAAGGGCACAAGCAACCAAAGAAAAATAATAAATTGGACTTTGTCAAAGTTACAAACTTTTGTGAATCAAAGGACATTATCAAGAAAGTGAAAAGACAACTTAAAGAATGGGAGAAAATATTTGCAAATCATGTATCTGTTAAGGGATTTTTATCCAGAATATATAAATAACTCTTACAACTCAATAATAAAAAGACAAATAGCCTGATTTTAAAACGGGCAAAGGATCCGAATAGATATTCCTCCAAAGAATGTATACAAATGGCCAGTAAACGTGAGAAGATGCTCAACATCTTTAGTTATTAGGGAAATGCAAATCAAAACCACAATGAGATACCACTTCACACACAACTAGGATGGCTATAATAAAAGTAAAATTAAAAAAAATAAAAACAACAGAAAATAACACGTGTTGGCAAAAAAAAACCTGTGGAAAATTGTAACCCTCATGTATTGCTGGTGGGAATGTAAAATGGTGCAGCCACTGTGGAAAACAATTTGGCAGTTCCTCAAAAAGTTAAACACAGAGTTACCATATGAACCAGAAGTCCACTCCTAGGTATATACTCAAGAGAATTAAAAACATATGTTCATACAAAAACTTGCACATGAATGTTCATAGCAGCCTTGTTCATAATAGCTAAAAGGTAGAAAAAAATCCAAATGTCCATCCACTGATGAATGGATAAACAAAATGTGGTATATCCATATAATAGAATATTAGTCATAAAAATAAAAAAGTAATGAAACATACTATGACATGAGTGAACCTTAAAAACATTATGCTAAATGAAAGAAGCCAGACACAAAAGGTCACATATTATATGATCCCATTTGCATGAAATACTCAGAATAGACAAATCCAGAGAGACAGAAAGTAGAATAGTGGTTGCCAGAGGTGGAGGAGGAAGAAATGGTAATGGGTATGGCACCTCTTTTTGGGGTGACGAAAATGTTCTGGAATTAGATATTGGTGATCGCTGTAAAATCTTGTGAACGTACTAAAAACCACTGAACCGTACACTTTAAAATGGTGAATTTTAAGTTTGTGAATTATATCTCAGAACAAGAAAAAGAAAAAGGAAATGCTGTAAGCCTAGAGATAGAAGGTTTCTGTGCACCTGAGGAGACTTCTATTTAAGCTCTCACTTAATGTGAAGCTTTTTCCCAAGCGAATGCATTTCTGCTGTAGTGTTTTCATTCATTCATTCAACCGATAGTCATTGAGCACATGTTATGTACAAGAATCAGAGCAGTATCTGCTTCCACTTGCCTGTTGTTGCTTGAAGGCCTCAATAAGTAAATCAATATCAGTAAAAGTGAGAGGAAATTGCAGTCGAGGACCATTATAGGAGTCTGGGACGTCTACCAACCCCACATAGTCCTGTCTATCCTTGTCGTCCTGGTGGGTATTACCAAAAAGTCGACTGACAAATTCTGGAAAAGGAAAGACAAAAAGGGGAAAAAAATCAACATTCCCATACTTAAATGCAATAAACACCTCTTGAATACCTAGCCCATTATAAGGTACTGTGCTAAATGTTATGAATACCAAGGTTTCCCACTTATAACCATGAGGAGTGATTTGTTCTGAGATCAGTAGGTACATTCAGATGAATCACCATAATCTCTTCCTGGGTGAACATTTCACCAAAACAATGAGTTCATCAGTGGGGAGGGGAGGCAGAAGCACCAGGAAAACCGGTCAATCAAAATATTTTGGTGCTCTGAAGCTCTAACTCTACTCTTGCCCACTCTTATATCTCAGATTTTTACAAATAGGGCTGAAAACATAACAACGCATTGTATTTGGTTCAAACAGCTGCTGCTATTCAGGATCTACAGAAAATTAAACTGCAACATTCAACTTTTTCCCCTTTTAAACACTTCAAATTTTACTTAGCTATAATTGACTTGCTTCTCTCATCACATAAAAACAAATTTTCTGACATGATTTTTTTTCTTCTTGGTAACAAAGCAGATAAAGTTAGACAACGAGCCACAGGCAGAAGTACCAAAGGGCCTCTCTCTCGGAGAGACATTTCTATATAACACGTTGCCTGCATTGCTTATTTCAGGAGGTGCTGAGATCCAGGGGCCCTTGCCTGCTAGATTGCCTATGAAACGGCCCAGGAACAGAAATCTGGCCAAGTCAGGTGGAGAAAGATAAAAGAGGATATGGTCGACTGATTGCAAAAGTGACCCCAATTCTCAATCCCAACCTCTAGCCATGCTCTTTTTAATGTGATTTTGCAGCTACTCTTATCATGAGTTTATTTCCCTAGCCCTTGAAGCTGGGTTGGATTTGTGACTTGTGTTGGCCTAAAGAATGTGGAAGGAGTCCTACGTACCAGTTCCAAGCCAAGGCCTCAAGAGGCCTCATACGTTTCCATGCTTTCTCTTTTGAAACTGTGCCACTGTCATGAAGTCCAGGCTAGCCTACTGAAAGCTCCAAGACCATGTGGAGCAGGGCTGAGTCACCCTAGCCAAGGCTGTCCTAGATCAGTCACCAGCCAGCAGACCTCCAGACACATGAGTGAACTCCAGCTAAGATCCAAAAAACTGCCAAATCAAGCCTACCAAGATTAGTAGAAGTGCTCAGCTAATCTGTAGACTTGTGAGCAAAAAAGCAGTTGAGCTATTGTGGTTGTTTAACACACAGTATTATTGCAGTAACCGATAACTGAGACAGAGGACAATGACATACCTTCAACTCATTAACACTGAAGTGCTACTAAGCTCATTAATCAGAAGTTCTCTGCAAGCAGTTTCTAGCTTTTTGAATATATAGAGTGGACATGTTTGGAAGGTATGATTTTAGCAGATGTAGACAGCATACATTTTTTTTCATGATCCAGTTATGCTGAGAGATTACAGTTAAGAACTAAACTTGAAAAAATTTTCTAGTCATAATATTTGGTAATTTTAAAATGCTTTCTAAATTATTGTGTACCCCAAAATTTTTTTGGTGGTGGTTGATGATGTTTTATAAGAAGTTAAATTTAGGAGTAATAATGTCTGTCTTCAATGTGGTCCAGCAGAGGTTATTTTTCTCATTTGGATTTGATTTGAGATTTGAGAATAACTTAATTATTTCACTTTATGTTTGAAAACTAGAAATGCAGAGCATCTTGGTAAATTTTATCTCAGATTCATTATGTAAGCGGTAAAGCCTAAACACTCTACTTAACTATTTTAATGATCATGCCACTCATTTTTACTTGCTAGTCATTCTTAGAGATACATCCTGCTCCAAAGGAAAACTTTACTCTTCCTAACTCTACACACTGAAATATCAGGCTCCTCTTGTGAAAACAACAACAACAACAACAAAAAGCAAAAATAAAAACAACCCAGCAGTTTCACTATATCATTTTAAAACTGACTTGGGTAATCCCAACTATGTGAGGTATAAACAAGAAATCATTGTCTTTTCCCAATCATTGCCTTTACCCACGCTCTGTCAACTCTCCCTTTCTCATCAGCTAATACATCAAGTCAATTCCATCAGTTCCAGTTATTAAAACTCAGTCTTGTTGTTTAAAAATAAAATAAAAATATTGTTTTTCTTCTTAAAAAAAGAAAAGCTCAATCTGGTCCTTCCTTCCATATAGTTGATGACCCTCATTTCCTCTAAGTTCAGTGATAAATATATGAAAAAGCACCATTTCCCTAAAACAATTCTTAAACCAAAGCTACTCAGTATGAAATATCAGTAAACATCAAATCATAATCCTTCTGCTGGTTTTTAGCCACATAAAAAAGAATAACATAGATTCTCTTCCTAACGTGGGTAGCTAATGTGGGTCATGCACAAAAACAAGCAAAAGCTTTAACATTCCAAATGCAAGTACTGTCCTTGTGGGCTATAACTATTATAACTTGCCGGGGTCCCGCCCCGGCTGAGTCCAGGTTCCTGAGGGATGGACGGCGTCGGCGCAATGAGGGGAAAAAAAAGGGGACGTGAGACTTGGGTTGGTGTTAGCAAGTCCAACTTTACTGTGCACAAGTGTCGTTTATATATTTTTCAGGATTAGTACAGAAACGGTTCTACAAATATTCTCAGAGAGATAAGGAAGTAAAAAAACGAGCACAAGAATATTTATTAGCACTCTATTCTATAGAGGATAAGGTTAATGGTAGTCTTCTCTGCAATTAACTAGTGTTTGTTGTCTCTAAGCTAAAGGAGATAGGTACCTAGGCATCTGTTGTAATTCATGGTAAAGTTAAATCAAAGAGAGAAGGTCCAGGCCTCCGGACAGGACAGCAGTCCGTCTGGTTACATCCTGGTGGAGCCATCCCTGCCTCCCTCAATCATTTACGCCATTAGTGTAGATGGTTAATGGGAACAAAAGGCGACTCCAGGGTATCTTATCCCCAGGGCTATCTGCATTCTCAGGGGGCAGTTAAACATCTTTACTTCCTCGCGCCCTTTAGGGGGTGGAAGCATTCCTTTGTCTTTTAGATTGTAGAGCTAACAGTCCCTTAAGTACACTGCCGGAGACAGTATCACTTTGTTAGTAAAGTAAAGGGCTGAAAAGCTAAGCTAAACTATGTATCTTCAAGAATAAAAAACAGAAATAAGTATAGATATAACCTTGATAGAAAGCATGCATATAATTCAGAAAATATCAGGGGTGTTGGCCAGCCATTCTTCACCGAGGGGCATCCCTGCACCCCTCGGCCCTTCTACTCATCAATTATTTATTATTTATCGCTTTTAGGAGAAAACCTCTATAACATTTTAACAGAAAGCAGAAGGTCAAGAATAATATATAGATACTTCTTGATCATCCAATTAACCAGCAAACTTAGAAGGACGATGCATATATATATATTTAGACAAAGAACTGGAGGGAGAAGGAAACATTAACCAGATGGAGGCCATAAACCTAACTCGACATCTTATCTGGGCAAGATTCCTTTCTGCTTGTCTCAAATGGGACTGTGTGCTCCTCCATTAATTAACTGAAAAATATCTTGAAAGTTACCTGCAGGTGGTCACATTCTCTTACTATATTTAATTTTCCCGGGAGGTAGTGCCTCCCAAGCAGCCACCCAAAGGAGTGAAAACTGGAGGTTAAGAAAGGAAAAGGAATGAAGGGCAATTAGAAGCAGCACAGGTTTCAGAACTATGTGAGGGGCCGGCCGGTTATTCTTCACCAAGGGGCGACCCTGCGCCCCTCGGCGTTAATCGGCTGGACCCTGTCAAACAGCCGATCAAATGATGTAGCCACGGCTCCCAGCAATCACTAATAATAATATTTTAATGAATGTCAACAATATATGAAGATTTGTGCAACATGCAATTAGAATTAATCCTTACCTATTTGATTTACAATTCTGTCAACATGAATCTAAACTAATATAAGACAATCTTGAATTATAACCAAATGATACCTTTACAAGTTGTTCTAAATAAAATACCTCAAAAATATCCCCGACACACAATCTTTTCTTTTATTCAGCACAGACTTAAAAACTGGACAAGGAAATATTTAAAGCCCATAATTTTTTAAAAAAACAATATCTGCCTCTACCGCCCACATGTCACTTGGAAAACAAGCTCCAGATACCGCTGGAAAAAGAAAAGCACCAACTGAACCGCATTTGTAGTTATTTCATTTCTCAATTGTGAATCCGGATTAAGACCATGAGTGTCTGTATAATAAACTCGATAGATGCCAAAATGACATTTCATAAATTTCAACACCTGTTCCCGACTTTTAAAAAACTCAGAAAACTAGGAATGGAAGGATACCTCCTTAACACAATTTTTAAAATTTAAACCAAAAACAATGGTCTTTCCATTAAATTGTTAACAAAACAAGGATGGCTACTCTCACTGTTTCATTTTAACATTGTTCTGCTATCTCCAGCCAACGGAATTGAGGCTGAAATAAGAATAGTAACTATTAGATAGAAGGACATAAAAATAGTTACTTGTGGCCAGTGCAATTAAATATCTACACTCAAGAAAATCAATTGGAAATACTCCCAGAATTAATAGGAGAATTAAAATAATACAGAAGTTAATCACACTGGTTTGAATCACAACTTCACCACTGAAGAGATGAATAACGTTGGGAGGTTACCCTCTAAGCCTCAGTTTTCTTATCCACAAAAAGGATGATAATAATACTAGTCTCACTGGTTTGTCATGAAGACTAAGTGAAATGATATATTTAAAGCACTTAAAGACATGGCACAAGAGGAAGATGGGCACGGATGTTAGCTCAGGGCCAGTCTTCCTCAGCAAAAAGAGGAGGATTAGTGCAGTTAGCTCAGGGCTAATCTTCCTAAAAAAAAAAAAGACATGGCATACATTTAATAAATATCAGTAGTAATAATAATAATAATTTCATTAATGTTATTATTCTATAGTAGCACAATACAAAATAAATAGATATAAATCAAAAGCTTTACTAAATACTACCAATAATCATTGAGGAGATATAATGGGGAAAATATTCTATTCACCATAGCAACAAAAAATATAAAGTACTTGGTCTGATAGGATATTTTGGCTGATCTGGGAAGCAGAAAGAAAAGTCAAAACAACACCTCCACACACTCCATCCCACTCCCCACTTCCACCAGTTTCTGTTTACATCTACTACTATGTATAGCAGCTTTGGCTTTCTACCTGTGGGAAGAGGCTGATGTGAAAAAGCAGACTGGGGAATGGATGTATGGAGTCTCCCCATCGAGTCCTGTGAACTGGTTTTGAGGAATTTCAGTAGTAGGACACGGAGATGAGCTGCTTTCAGGTCACCTCTCACCTTTGGGACACCCAGAATGTTTCAACATATTCTGTCCTCCTAGGAAAAACCATTAATCTGGCCCTGAGATCTGGAAATGTTAAGTGACCTTCTGGTCCCTTTAATATACCCTGCTTAGGGGTCACAGCACTTCTGCCAAACAGGCCGAGGTGGAGGTTGTCTGGAACTTTCCCACCAAACAGGGCCATCAGAAAGCAACCTACAGTAAGGTACAGCATAGCGACTCTAGTTAACAATACTCTATTGTATATTCGAAAGTTCCTAAGAAAGTATATTTTAAAAGTTCTCACCACAAAAAACAATGTAACCATGTGAGATAATGGATGTGTTAACTAACCTTATTGTAGTGATCATTTAACAATACATACATATATGAAATCATTACGTTGTACACCTTAAACTTACACAATGTTAGATGTCAATTATATTTCAATAAAGCTGGAAAAATATTTTAAAATTGCACTCAACTTACAGCAATAATCTCTAAATCTCTTTTTCTGCTACATACAATAATTAAATCAGTATGGTTCTAGGATTTTATAATTTCTCTCTATAATAGAGAAATGTATAAGAGAATCGAGAGCCCAGAAATATGGCCTATTACACATTTTTAAATAAATATATTAAAAAGAAGGCACTACAAATCATGGTGAAAAACTACATTATCAAATAAATGTGGGAAAAATTCGTTAACTACTTGGAAATTTTCTTTGTCGTCATGTTTTTTAATTGTTCTCAACCACTGGGCATCAAAATTTTTCTTTTACTTTAATATAAAAAATCCAAAATTTATGAAGTGTTAAAAATTTTTAAAGTGAAACCAAAACCAAAATCTAGAAATACAGGCATAGCAATCCACATTTTAAATATTTCAGGGTCTTCTAAGTTTTTAAAAGCAGGATTCACAAAATAAAAGACATTTAGACTTGAAAAGAAAGATACTTTAAATAATTAATGGATAAAAATTTCCTAAGTCTGATGAAAAATATCAACTTAGATATCACAGAAGCTCAGCAAACCCCTCAGAGGATAAATAAAAATGAAACCTCTCAAGGCACATTATGGCTAACGTGCTATTTTCCACTGTTACTCAGATTAGTTTGTTTCTTCCCCACCTCCTTCAGGTGATTATATCATTCATTTGTAATACAGTTAGGTTCACTTGTCACAGTGTATATTCTATTTTGGAATCTCACACACACACATACACTGTCTTCTTGTTTTTAATTAATTATTTTTTTTTGGAACGTGAAACATTATCATGGTTCTAAGAGTCAGAACTAAAAAAACATATACTCAGAGAAGTGTAACTCTCATCTCAGCCCTTCTACTCAATCGCCATTCTCCCATTCTCTCTGTCCTGCTCCCACCCATCCCTCCATTCCCCGTAGGTAAACAATGTCATTAGCATCTGGTTTCTCCTGTAGGTTTCTCCTGTATTTATTTTTGCACAAATGAGTACGTGTGTGTGTATATATATACACACACTCATATATATACACACACAATCATATCAGGCAAAAACTTCTTAAACAGGACACAGAAAGCACTAACTGTAAAGGAAAAGAATTGGACTACATTACAATTAAGAATGTTTGTTCATTAAAAGACACCATTTAAAGATTGAGAGGATAAATGCCAAAGACTAGGAGAAGATATTTACAATATGTTTATCTAACAAAGATTCATATTCTCACATACAGAATATTTAGAGAACTCTTACAAATTGGTAAGAAAAGGCAGATAACCCAATAGAAAGATGGCAAAAGATCCAAACAGGCACTTCAACAAACGGGATATCCACATGGCCAATAAACATACAAAAAGGTGAGCAACTTCACTGCTCACCAGGGAATGCAAATTAAAGCAGAAATGTGATACCACTACATACCTGCCAGAATGGTTAAAACGAAAAGGATGGACAATTCCAAGTGTTGATGAAGATATGGAACAAATGGAACTCTTGTACACTTGTGACAGTCTAACTTGGTACAACATTTTGTAAAATGGTTTGTCAGTATCTAATAAAGCTGAACACATGCACACCCTATAACCCAAAACTTCCATTCCTGGGTTGTGGTATATCTTTATAATGATGGCCCCCAACGAACCATGCCTCCTTGCATCCACATCCCTTCACAATATAATGCTGCTGCTGCTCCCTGCAAGAGATAGAGCTTTCCTAACCCCTTTGAATCTGTGGCTGGCCTTGTGACTCGCTTTGACCAACAGAATATGGCAGAACTGATTCTGTATGAGTTCAGAGCATAGGCTTTAAGAGGCCTCGCAGCTTCTGCTTTTGCCCTCTTGGGATCCAGCTGCCATGTAAAGAAGTCCAGGATATCCTGCTGGACAGAGAGGCTGCATGAGGAGAAGTGAGGTATCCAAGATAGTAGCCAACAACGAAGTCCCAGACATGGGAGAAAAACCATTTGGACCTCCCTGCCCAGCCTGGCTAGGTTGACTGAGCCCAACTGACACCACATGGAACAAAGACAAGACATGTCACTGAGCCCTGTTCAAATACCTGACCCACAGAATCACAAGCAACAAAATGGCTGTTGTTTTTAAACCACCAAATATTGGGGGTGGTTTGTTATGCAGCAATATATAACTGAAAATGAGTGTATAGCAAAAGAAAAGAATATATATCTTCACCAAAAAAGACATGTACAAAAATGTGCATAGCAGTACCATTTTAATTGCCAAAACTGAAAATAACCTCAATGTCCATAAACAATAGGATGGATAAATTTCGGTATATTCATAAAGTGGAATTATTCAGCAATAAGAATGACCAAATTGCAACAATATGGATAACTCTCACAAACATAATGTTGAGTAAAAGAAGCCACACTCAAAATTGTATGCTTCCATTTATATAGAGAAGTTCAAAAAGAAGCAAAGCTAATCCAGGATATAGAAGTCAGGAAAGTAGTCATGGGGGTGTTGGGTAATGACTGGAGGGGGACAAGAGAAGGGCTTCTGCGCCTTTGATAATGTTTTCTTTCTTGTTCTGGGTGCAGGTTACGGGAGTGTGTTTACTTTGAGAAAATTTATTGAGTCATATACATGTGATTTGTGTACTTTTCTGTAATGTATGTTATACTCTGGGAAAAGTTTACATAATAAGATTAAACCGCTGTCCCCTTGTTTGATAAAAAAAATTTTTAATATTTTTAAATCACCTGAAGAATTTTTTTAAATGCAGATTTTTAAAAATACAGAGCCTGAGTAAATATCTTGGGGCTGGAATCCAGCCATCTGCGGCTATGAATCCCCATAAGTGATTCTGATGCACAGCCTGGATTGAAATATTAGGTTACCAGAAGAAAGAGTGCTGTTTCATTTCATCATTATTATATTTCCCCTCAGAAATATTTTTGCCAAAGAACAAGAAGCACAAACAACTGTCTTCAAATTGCAATTATCTAAAAGAAAGAAAATGGCAAAATACCCACTTCCACCCACTCTCCACTCCTCAGGGTTGGCTATTCCATCATTCAGAAAGCTTCTACAGATCATTAAATGCTTTAATTAGTTTCATGCATATGTACTTAGTTCAAAGCATGCCATTAAAACACCACTCGTTGGCCACTTTGAAGGGTGCTCACCAGATTATTTAAAAGATGCTCTTAGGTGCCATACCTATTTTTAATTAGAGCAAAAAATGGTCGGCCCAAATTTAAAAAAATCAGTTTTTAAGTCTAGCATCTACCTTGAAGATAACAATAGGCAGATCTTACTCTGCAGGAGAAATACATGCCTTATGAATAACTATAATTTTTAAATAATTTTTGAACCACATCTATATTGCCTGTATCTGAAATGATTTATTTAGTCAGACAGACAGACAGACAGATAGCTATGCAGAGAACAGAGACATTACGGGGCCAACTGTGCGTAATCCACCATTTCCCTCCGGATCTGTTTTATGAAACACTCAAGATACTTTGATCTCTCAGCACAAAAGTTTTCTGGATAAAAAATAAGATCCTCTTTACTAAGCTACTATTATACATCAATAGATTGTGGTTCAGAGAAAGTATTCAACAAATTAATGTTGAATTAAATCTAATTCAGTTTTTTGACAGTGAAAAAATTAAATGGTTAATTTAGTCCACACCAATCAGAGAGGAAAAAAGCTAATTGAACTGATTTCACCAGTTGTTTGGTGTCACATAGACAAGACAAGTGGACATTTGTTAAATTTCTTAGTTTTTTCCCATATTCAGAGTCCCTTGATGTCCCTTGATGAGGACAATTCAATATTTAATAACTGTTTTTCAAAAGACTAAACTTTGTACTTACCTGGATCTTTCTCACACACATGTGTGTAGTTTTCAAACATGAAGGAAAAGAAATTGGATAGCTGGACAAAAGAAAAACACATCAATCAATTAATGAACTCCAAACAGCTGCTATGGCAAATACTGTTGGTGCTCCCGCAAGTCCCGTTTGCTCTTCTGGGGCACTCATCTCCCAGCTGCCACACATGCTAACAAGTCCTACTTCTCCCTACCAGCTCCTCCCAAGACTTGCGCTTGGCAGATGGGGGGCACTTTCCCCAGAGTTGCATAGGATATCATATATTCCCCTTCTGGGGGACTGCCCATAGAAAATGACTGACTGAAGCAGGAGTATTACAGGCCAGGCCCCCACCTCCCTTGCCACTGGGTGGGACAAACTCTGACATATTTCACACTTCAGAGCTCCCAATGGGATCAGGCTGAGGTCAAACTTCTTCAGAAACCATATTTTTGCCTAGCTTCTTCCCCTGTCCTATCCTGCTTTCCTCACTCCCTTACAGGTTTTTCCTGAGAACACTCTTCAGGAAATCACTTGTACCAGAATCCCTGTCTCAGACTCTACCTCTAGGAAACCAACCTAAGACAGCTACTAATTTTGTTCATTATGATCTCTTCCTTTTGGTGGTGAGATTAAGAGTTAAGGGATACTCTTAATTGTCAAATATATTTGGGAAATGAAGGAAGGAAGGGAGGAAAGGGGAGAGGGAGGGAGGGAGGGAGGAAGAGAGAGATGGAAATCCACCAGCATTCCAACCATCACCTAGATGCTGCCTCTATGCCTGTTATTTTAATGCTGTTGAGGGGTTTGTCAATTAAGAGTCAATAGAAATCACAATGAAATACCACTTCACAGACAGTAGGATGGCTATAATCAAAAAGACAGATAATCACAAGTATTGACAAGATGTGGCAAAAATGGAGCCCTCAGACACTGCTGGTGGGAATGGAACATGGTGCAGCTGCTTTGGAAAACAGTTTAGCAGTTATTCAAAAAGTTAAACACATGTTATAAACCAATGTTACCGTAATAAAAAATTTTTTTGAAAGTTAAACATAGAGTTACCAGATGACCCAGCAATTCCATTCCTAGGTATACACCTAAGAGAATTGAAAACACATGTTCACACAAAAATTTGCACACAAATATTCACAGCATCATTATTCATAATAGCCAAAAAAAGTAGAAACAATCCAGATGATCTATCCACTGAGGAATGGATAAATACAATGGGCTATATCCATACAATGGAGTATTATTCAGCAATAAAAAGGAATGAAGTACCGATACATGCCACAACGTGGATGATCCTTGAAAACATTATGCTAAGTGAAAAAAGCTAGTCACAAAGGATCATACATTGTGTGATTCCATTTATATGAAATGACCAGAAAAGGCAAATCCATAAAGAGGGAAAACAGACCAGTGGTCGCCAGGGGCTGGGTGGAGGGGGAAATGAGGAGTGACTGCTAATGAGTATAGAGTTTTTGAGGGGGGGTGATGAAAATGTTCTAAAATTTATTGTGGTGATAGTTGCACAACTTTGTGAATATACTAAAGGCCACTGAATTTTACACTTTCAGTGAGTGAATTGTCTCTCAATAAACCTGTTATAAAAAAAGAGTCAACATTAAAGAATGTACTGATACTGGAATGTTTGTGTATAAAGCATATCAATTTGAGAGCTCACCCTACCTTTATATTCATCACCACACTCCACAGGGTTTAAAAGGACAGCCAACACTGTGGGCTCCTAATCAGGGCACAGGGAGTCTCTGACTGAATCATAGTATATCATTTTATAGATGCCAAGAATAAATCCAGCAATTTCTTTAATTCTTTTTGAAATTTTATTAATTGTTTTTTAAAGATCATTATGTGATAAATTTATAGACAAATATAGGATTGTTGAAAACTACAAACGATATAGAATGAAAATGGGAAGTCGTCTCCCACCCACCCCAACCCACCAAAACCACTCCTGTCTCTAGAAAGAATCACCGTAAACACTTTACTGTGCTTCTTTTTCCAGACTTTTGCTGTGTGTTCAATTTTCTTTCACACATATGGGCTAAAACTCTACATATTGTTCTACAACTTGATTTCTTTCATTAATAATTAAATTGAAGATCTTTCAAAGATCTCCTTATAGTTAAAAAGTACGTTTTTTCAATTAACAAGCATTAAAGCTTGTTTTTGCAAGCTTTAAGAAGGCCTTCCTCACCCATCTATATTTTCTTCTAGAACGTTCACAGGTTTGTTCCCAGGAAATTCTTCCAGTTTTTAACTCCTTAAAGTAATTTTTCCTTCATAAAGTAACAACTTTACTTCCTATTGAGGCATGCACCCAAAAATAAAATAAGACCATTTATTAGTTAACTAGGCATCTGGCAGCCCTCTTAAAAATGTGAACTTCAGAATTGAAAAACACCATCCAAACCATTCTCTCTCTCAACAGCTAGTTTCAAGACAATGTCACTATGTCCTCTGCTAAACCCTTTCACCAAGGTTCCTCAGCTTAAAAAGGACCCAAATTGTCATTCTTTCAACAGCAAGGGGTGAAGAGAAGCCTTTTAACAAAAGAAGAGACAAGCTTGCAAAACAGACCTGCAATTGGCCTTGTTCATCGGCATATTCGATGGACTGGAAGATGGTGAGGGCATAGCGTTGTCTGGCCTTCAGTCGAGCGCTGTAACCTCGGTACCAGTTCTGGATGATCAAAGCGGCTCTCAGCGCTGCAGACCCACAGGATACGAAAGTCAGAGAAAAATAGTTACTATGCAGCTTGGGGCGGGGAGCAGGGGGAGAGGAGCAGGTGCTTCAGAAAAAAGCAGTCCACCTGGACTCCTGGGTTCTAAGAAGAGAAAAACTACAAACAATAAGCTTTATCTTTATGTTTTTGTAAAATGTCCTCAAGTTTCAAATACTCAGAGAATAATGTTGGTATCCATTAAGCATAGAATTTTTGGAGCAAGACTGCCTGCATTTGAATCCCAGTTCTGCTAATTACGGTCTGTGTGAGTTTGGGTAAGTTATTAAAACTCTCAAAGCCTCAGTTTCCTCCTCTGTAAAATAGGGATAATAATAGCACATACTTCTGGCACTACCCAGGCATATGAAGTCTATGTATGCCCTATGAAGTAGCAATTCCAGTCTTCACTAAATACCCTAAAGCAATCCTCACACAGTCTGTAAAGGACACACACGGGGTACAACGTTTCCTTGTTTGTGGCAGTAGGGAGTTTGACACCAATGCAGGCTGGCTGCCCATTGCTAGGAAGGAGAATGTGTAACAGTGGTGTGTGTATACTATGGAATATTATGCCACAACTGGAAGCAATAGATTAAATAAACCCATAGTAATGTGGATGGATCTTAAAAACATAGTTATTCAGTTTGAATAGTAATTAAAAAGTTAGAAAGAAATATAACACAATATCATTTTATACAAATTTAAAATACCCATACACAAAACTGCAATATACATTTCATAGAATATATACAAAGGAAAAGATACATACTAAACATAATAGATTGATTATTTATGGGGGAGGGGAATGAATGAGTGTAGGGCAAATGGATAAAAGAGAATAGGCAAATTAATTAACTAACATAGGAAAGGGTCTTGCACAGATGGATGATGACAATGTACAATGAATTGAGAAGTATGATTCGCTCCTCCTTCTGCACCTGAGATTCAATTGATAAAAGACAGGTGGATAAATGAACACATCTCTCCCTCCTTCATAGAGTTACTATGAGGATGAAATGAGATACTACAGGTAAAGAATTCAGCCTGATGCCTGGTGTAAAGCACATGCTAAATAAATGGCAACCATAGTGATAACTATTGTCTTGTTTGTGGATTATTCAGGCCCACTGACTCTCTTCCAGGGCTGGTAGCCTCCGAATCATCCTGTTGTTTCACAGTATTGAAGAAAGAGAGCGGGTGAGTGATAGAGATTTAAACTATAGCCTCTTATGCTTTCCTCAAGTTTTAGAGTAGAGAGCAAGCAACACCAGCCTCCTTTTATTCATGCTATAATTTTCCCAGTTAGCACATAAAAATTAAGAGTTGACTATAACAGGAACAATTTGAGTTCTGAAAGCAGGAATCCATCCTCCAGTCCCAGCATCCTTGGTTTCATACTGCCGTGGTACACTGAGTCTATACTAGTCATATGAGGGTGTTTATTTATGAGCTTTTTCAAGGTTCTTGGGTTCCAGAGGCTCTTGCTTCACTATTCAGCTTCCAGAAAACCCCAGGAAATAGACATAAGGTCAAGTATCATGATCTTTATAGGGAAAAACCACAGGGAGAAGAAGGAGTGACTTGTTCAATATTGCAAAGCAAATAGCTGGTAGTACCATAGCTGAAATCTCAAGTGTTCTCACCATATCACTGTGGAGAGCCCAGGCTCACATGACAGCCCTATTCTGTGGGACAGTCACTGTCATGACCAACCAACCCACTCTTCAAGGGCTCTCTGTTCACCAAGCTAGAACAGTTCCAGTGTTATTTACTGAGCACTCACTGAGGGCCAGGCAATGGAATCATTTCTGCAGTCCTCGCCACACTGTGAAGCTGAGAGGGACTAACTTAATTAAGGTTACTTAGCCAGGAAGTAGAAACAGTGGATAGCAAGGAATTGAACCCAGGTCTCACTGACCTCGTAGCCCAAGCTCTTAACCTCTATAAAGCTATTGATCTTTTTCGGTGCCTCAGTTTCTTCACCTGCACAATGATGTAGTGGAATAAATGATCACTAAAGTCTCTTCTATTTAATAATAGCAACACCAATAATAAATAATCAAGCTTATTATTATTTCTATAATTAATAATAGAACAAAATAGTTACCATATGTTAAGGGTCTACTATAAGACATTTAGTCCCCAAAAGTATTATCATCTCCATGTTACACATAAGGAAACTTCGGGTTCAGAGAGGCAAGTATCTTGCTCAGAGTCACTTACCTAGCATGGACTCAGATCTTCTGAGTCCGAACTCTGGGTTCTCTCCACTACAGCCAGTTACTTCATTCCCTTATCTATTTGTACCTTTCCTTCCTTTGAATAACAATAGCCCCCATTTATTGAATGCCTACTATGTGCCTGGCACTAAGCTAGACAGTTACATATACTACAACTTCTACTCCTTCCCCACAAGGGGAAAGAGGCGATCTAAGCCCCCTCTCCCGTCTCTGCTTTGTTTCTGTCTCCATTCCCCAGGGGAGGAGTTGCTATTTTGTTTGGTAAACACACAGTATATTCATCGGCTATATTTTACTAGTGGGTGTGGGTACTGTGTCTTGGAAGGTAGACAGCCATGCTCAGTTCCCTGGTTCTTGCACCTCTTCTTCTACCCCAAAGTCAAGAGGCTGAGCTGCCTCCCTTCCATCCCCGTCTTGGGAATCCACCATCTCTGTCTATGCTTGCACTCTTGTACCTGAGTCCCTACCTCAAGTATGAATGCCACTTACTAAGCTATCACCAGTCAGCTCTCACCCCATGATTCTCTAGTCGGCTCACTGGTGCTGAGGCTGGGACTCTGCAGGCCACATTTCCACTTTGCCCTTTGCTCCCTGTTTGGTTCTGCAAGGCTGGAGGAGGGACAAGGGACACGGGACACATTCTGCTTTTTTCTGCTTCCTGTTCTTAGCAACTACTCTTCACCCCCACAACAGTTTCTCCTTGTAGCAGCAACTGGATCCAGTTTGCAATTTACCTAGCACTTGTAAAATCAGCCTCGTTGTAGCCCCTCAGAGATTCCAGCACCAGCTGAGCAGCCCCCTTCTCAAAGGTCTGAGTTTCAGTTCTACAGGACCCTCTCCTCCAAGTTTCTAGATTTTAATAATTCCAACCATTCCCCTTTGCCTTAGAGGTGCAGTTGCTACCTCTGTACACCTTCGAGTTCTCTTTGGACCCTTTCAGTTACCTAGCAACAACTTGATACCTAGTTGGCAGTTCTTTACATTCAATTCTCTCTATTCAAACCACTCTGTGGCTTCTGCCTCCTGATTAGACCCTGCCTGATGAGCCGGTCCCGTGGAGATGGGAAAAGTAGGTCTAGCTTGGGCCTCAAGCCTCCAACTTCCTGGTCACTCCAGCTCAGGCCTTTAGTCGAGTTCCACACTGGGATTTTGAGTACTTTGGTAGAAGCTGATAAAATAGACTTTGGTCCACATCCTGCTGTTTTGCTCCTTGGGCATACAGTTCCTGCAGCACCTTCTCCAGGAGAGGGAAGGAGCCTGGCAGGGCAGGTTCAGACTTCTAATACTTCACATCATTCGTAAGAGCCCACCCACTCACCACAGGGCCACTCTAGCCAGCTGAGGACCCTCCTCTGGAGCAGAAACCTATCCAAAATAGCAAAGGACAGAGTCCAGACATGATAGAGACTCTACCCGAAGGAGTTGCTGGCTCTGTAATCCCCTACCCTGCCTGAAGAGTTGAAGATCTGTGGCGTCTAGTTCTGAATTTGTTGGACAGCTTAGATTCACTTCTGGTCCTGCTGCTTCACTACATAACAAGGCTTGTCTTCCCTGTCACATTAATTCCATGCATAAAAAAAAACAAAAATAAAAGTTATTGCCATGTGTGTCCCAAAGGCCTTTTATTTTTGTTTCTAGAAGGAAGCAACAGCATATGTTTAATAAGCTACCTGGCCAATTTTCTGTGCCCAGTACAGGTGGTTTCTCAATTGCCAAGCTGGGTTGTTTTTTGTTTTTTAATGGATTCTTTTCTCTAGTGGCAATCATTATCATGGTATTTGGTAAGAAATTAAATATTCGTGTAGGGAGTCAATGCGCAAAACAAATAAATTCAGGGCATTTGCTTGGTGCCAGGCACTGTGTTTGGTGCTTTATGTGGATCATCTCATTTGATTTGTTGTGATTTAATCCTCCCAACCATCCTATGAAGTGTCATTATCCTCATTTTACAGATAAGGAAACTGAGGCTCAGAAACAACTTGTTTTGGGGTCACATCACTTGTCAGTGGGAGAACGTAGAGTCAAATCCAGATCTCTGTAATTCTAGAACTTGGGCTCATAACCATTATGCTATATAGTAGTCCAGTGTGGCATTTGGAATCAGCAATAAAAAAATGAGACAGTGTGTGGAATAGTCCCTTCCTCTCACACCTTCCCCAACTCAAGTTCCCTATACTCTTAGCCTATTCTAGTGTTCTTCATGGCACTTTTTACCATCCAACATTCCATATGGTCATATGTTTGTGTGTTTATTGTCTATCTTCCCCTGTTAGCTAAGCTACATGAGAATGGGGACTTTATCTTGTTCACTGCTCTATTCCCAGCACCTCGGGCAAGGCCTGGCAATGATTTGTTGAATGAACGAATACCTTCTGGGAATGTTGTAATAATACATAATAACGTATTAGTAATGTGTTGATGTAGGTATCAGTAATATATTAATGAATTGATTAATATAAAATGCTTAGCACATTGCCTGGCATATAGGATCGCTCAGTAGATGGTAGATACTTTTTTTAAAAGTAAGGCGGCACATATGTATGGTGATGGATAAAAACTGGACTGTTGGTGGTGAACACGATGCACTCTATACAGAAACTGAAATACAGTGATGTACACCTGAAATTTACACAACGTTGTAAGCCAATATGACCCCAATAAAATGTTTTTTAAAAAGTAAGGCAGGAATAACAGGTAATAATTGTCTCTCTCTAGGTAACAACTTTTAGTGCCCGCAAAACTT